GGGGGCTGCCCCCCCCCCCCGAGTGACTGCAGCTTGGGGTGGGGATTTGGTCCGTCAGTGAAGGGCTTGGGGGGCAGAAGGGAAAGTTGAGGGGCTGAGCGTTACTGTGACGTCCGTGTCTCTGGGCTGCCCCTTCCCCCGCTCTCGCCCCGGCCTGAGCAGGGCCCTGCTGCATGCGGGTTTGGTGTGTCTATGGTGCCGCATCACCAGGGTCTCTTCTCCCCTGGCTCCACAGGACAGGACCTGGGTGTGGACAGATGGCTCCCTCTACCGCTACCATAGTTGGAATAATGGGGAACCAAACAACTGTGGGCCTCCAGCGGTAAGCAGAGACTCAAACACACCTGCACCAAGATAGGAGTCGTGCAGGGACCCTGTGCACACCACACAGCCCGCTGAGGGCCTGGCCTCCTGTCCCGTCTCCCTGCCTCTCCCCCGGCTCCCCCAGCTGATCTCTGTGACACAGGAAATGTCTGTTTCCATGGTAGCATCTCTAAGGTCCAAGTACCCACATCCAACTAGTCTTCCCTCTAATTCACCGTCCATGTGCCTCCCAGCCCTGGCCGGTCCTACTTGTCACTGGCCAACTGCTCCCACACGCCCGGACAAGTTCACTCCCAGCCGTTTGGCCTGGGATTGTTTAACCCCTTTCTGGCCACGGCTCACCCGTCCGGGAGAGGGGCTGTTCTAATCCCATCACTTCACATCAACAAGTGCCACACGGCTGCCAAAAACAGAAAACCTCCTTCTGGGCGGCATGAACCGGAGTGTTGGGAGCCAGACCCGAGAAGCGATTCTTCTGCTCTGCTCTGCCCCACATTGGCCTCAGCTGGAATAGTGTGTCCAGTTCTGGCACCACATTGCAGGGAAAATATGGACAAACTGGAGAAGGTCCAGAGCAATGAAACAGATGAACCTTCTCGAACACACGAGCTGGGAGGGAAGGTTGACAAAATGGGGTTTGTTCCTAGTGGAGAGGAGAAGACAGAGAGGGGGCAGGAGAGCAGCTTCCATATACCTAAAAGGGGGTTGGAAGGAGCAGGGAGAAAACTTGTCCCCAGTAACCTCTGGTGGCAGGACAAGAAGCAAAGGGTTTGAATTGCAGCAAGAGATGCTCAAGTTGGACAGGAAAAAAAACTTTTTGTCAGAGGCTGGAAATGGATGAGCAGAGAGGCATCACATAGTGATTCCCTGTTCTGTTCACTCCCTCTGGCACTGGCCACTCTCGGCAGACAGCACACTGGGCTAGATGGACCGTTCGTCTGACCCAGAGTGGCTGTTCCTACGTTCCTAACCACCCTGACAGTTAAGAAGTTAAGCACTGGAATAAATTGCCTAAGGGGACTGTGGAATCTCCCTCCCTGGAGATTTCTGAGAGTAGATTATAGACAAATGGGGATGCTCTAGTTGGTATTTGGCCCTGCCTTGAGTGGTTGAGCGCTGGGAAGGGAGCAGTTCATCATCCAGGCACTGCAGCGCTGCCCTTTGGGGGGAGATGCTGCCACTGGCCCAGGCCCAAACCCCAACG